GGGAAAAGAGTCATAAAAACGCGAACTAGAGACAATAAAACCCTAAGGCAGAATGAATTTGATAGAAAAATGCGAAATAAAGTCAAAAATTCACAAGTTCACACTCTAGAAAGCATGCAAAAAGGCTCTCACTTAGGAACAAATCTCAAAGTTCAAGAAAGACAAAGTCAAGATTCTACTATAAGGACAGCAGAATCTAACTACAAAAGATAATGACACAAAAAGGTTGATATAGAAAGTCCAAAAACTAAGATGTCCGAATGCATGCCAAGTAAAAGAGTCCGTAAAAACAAGCGCACCTACTCCTTGTCAACAAGCTCGTCAATAACCTCCTCCTCCTCCTCCTGAGAATGGGCGGAAGGTGGAAGACCAGGCGAAGCAACGGCGATAGAAGGAATAAGGGACAGCGAGCGGACGCGGCGTTGACGAGGTGTCAGAGATGAAGGCCCAGCAATGGGAGGAGAATCGTCTCGCTGAAAAAGCGAGATGAGTCTCTCCAAATCGGCCGTCGTTGAACCCGCAGGCACTGGGACCCCCTGAGTATCTACAAAGTCTTGAACGAAGCTGTACCACAAGCCGAACTCCTCGCGAGTCTCGAAAACAGTGCCTAGAAGAGTTCCAGGCTCGGCGGTGAGACACAGGTCCGCGATGGCGTTTGCGAACTCTCGAAGATTGGCGTTGCGACGATGGCGAATGGCCTCAAGGACTGCGGATAGGGTGCGCATATGATGAGTTAGATTCAGTCACATAATATCTCCTTACTTTGTCCAAGGTCTGATCAGAACTAATACTGAAAACTGATCAGCTTAAAAAGTACTGAGAGAAGTATGCAGAAGTGTGTATTGGTGTAAATGTATGTTGTATCTGTGATTTTACTTCTATTCCAGTCCCATTCCTGTGAATTCCAGTCCCATTCCTGCGGATTCTGGTCCCATTCCTGCGGATTCCTGTGGATTCCTGCAGATTCCGGTCCCATTCCTGCGGATTCCGGTGGATTCCTGTGGATTCCGGCGGATTCCTGCAGGAATGGGAGGGGCACTGTAAAGTACTGCCACGCCGCCTACCAAAACCACCACGTCCACACCAACGCCACCCACGACGACGCCCCCAACGGCAACCAGCGCCCACGACGACGGCGACGACAACGTCACGAATAACACAACAACGTGGACACACGACGAAAACGCGAACACGCGACGAGGAGGCAACAACGAAATGCGACACAACGATGGGATGCCAACGCAGGACGACGATGGCCAAGGTCCCAGCCACACTCCCTCTCCCCTCCACCATTCCCTCCCTCCCTGCCTCCTTCCCCCTTTCCTTGTCCCTCCCCCTTGCTCCACCATTCCTTCCCCCCTTTCCTCCCTCCCCCTTCCTTGTCCCTCCCCCTTCCTTCCTTCCCTCTTTCTTGTCCTTCCCCCCTTC